CCACAACCTCCCTTGTTTAAGCCTTTTCCAGAATTGTAACTCTGCTTAGAAGTTTCACTCTTCACTTCTGAGAGGTTGTTTGCATGCTAGTATATCTGTAAAGTATTCAGATAAATACTAATTGCCACTTTCTTTAAAATTAACTTGTGTGTATGAAGATCCCTCTAACAGAACTTCAGGTAGAAAAGTATATGGTTTATTATTTTCAGAAGCATTAGTTTGAGCTACTGGTCCTGTCCTCATGATTTTCCCTTTAAAGATGTTTAGGCTACAGTTCATAAGATCTTTATGCTCTTTTTTTCCCTTACTTCCTTTTTAATGTTCAGGACTTTTGCGTAAGGTGCAGATTATTGTGGAAATGCCCTAGAACATGCCAGGTAAAGAAGAGAATCTGGTTGCTTCTACTTTAAAAATTATGAGGTAATTAAACTCACCCATCAAAATCTATTTCTGCAGGCAGTTTCTGCAGAGTGAGCTTGCATGAGGACTGGACTCTGAAAGTTTCTCAGCCTTGGCCTTTACCAAGGAATAGTTTAGGTTTGGAGGCCTTGAAGACTCCAATCTTTCTGCAGCACAAGCAGGGGACATGGAGCTGAACTTGCTGTAGTTTATGGCTTTACAGCACGTGCACGAACTCCACTTCTTCAAACTGGAGTAATTGTAATGGACAGGTGAGCATCTTGCCCTGGAAGGTGTTTCACAAAAACATTTATTTCTGATTCTATCATCAGCTCTCCCCTGCTTCTGCTTCACATGAACTGCATTGCTTCTGGCTGCTTTTCTTACCCCCTTCCTGGACGAAATGCCCAGTCCCAGGCTGCTGTCTGAGCCCACACAGCCAAGACAAGGTGGCTGGTGCTATTCCTAGGGCTTCTGAAGGGCTGGAGAATCTACATCCTTTCAGTGAAGAGCAGGGTGTTTCTGTGTGCTTCAGTTGTGCTTATTTCAGCACAACTCAACTTTTCAGTTGAGTTTATTTGGAATATGATCCAGAGCTATGCAAATCCGTCTAGGCTTTCATGTTGACTCACTGCACAGGGAAACCTTCAGTCCTCTCTTTGTTTTTGGGCCTGCAGACACTATCATAGAGACACGTTTTTCACCAGAAATGGTGTCAGCCTGGTCATATTGCCTTCTCTGTAAGTTGAAGATACAGTATCTTTAGTAATTCTGACCAGCTCAGTGTTGCTCTGGTTTTGTTTTAGATGCTCTGGAGAGTTGAGGGTGGGAGATTTGTTCCCAAGCTCACAGGAAATATCAATTCAGCCCCAGAACTTGGTGATCTACAGGTCCTGCTAGTCTACCCTCAGCTCCCAAAACAGTTAAGCTACATACTGGTTTCAGTGTCTTTTGTTCATCTGTTGATTATTGTGGTTGGATTTCTGCCCTTCATGGCTGTTTTCTGGAGACTACTCATATGAATGCAGCCATTCTAGACAGAAGATCAGGAAAAGCTTTTTAAAATAAGCCCATCTCTGACCCATGTGCTGATAAAAGGCTCATGCAGTCACTGCGAAGAGTTGCAATAAAAAATTATTATAAAGGTAGCAGCAGGAGACAACAGGACAGGGACAAAGGCACACAAGGCAGGAGGAGGACTGCTGTGCCTTCTCTCTGCTGTATTGTGCAGCAGTGAAAGCCAGCAGCTGCAGTGAGGTCTGGTAATGCTATTTGCTTTTCTGAGAATTTTTTCCCCTCAACTTGCTGTTATAACAACCCCACTGGGTTGTTACTGGACACTTTGAGGGCTAAGCTGGGGCAGAAAGTTTCCAGTCGAGGTCAGCCCTTGACCAAGGATGCACACTTGTGGTTGGCAGTGCTCTGTGAGGGCAGGAGACACACTGATGATGCAGGAGACACCTGAAGAAGCCTCACACTGGAGGGACCTGCAGTTCTGCCTAAGGAGGAGGTGCAAGGTGGCCAGTGGTGGGCTAAAAGTGCTAATTCCAGGCTCGTGTGGCTCCGTGCTGCAGAGCAGGTAGGGCCCTGCAGGGCAGTGTGGGGTCCATACAGGGCAGCAGCGGGTCTGACTCAGGCTGCTGCAGGGATTGCACACAGTGCCTCTGAGAGCAAGCAGCACAATCTGCCACAGCTCAGCCCTCCTCTCCAAGGCACTGAATTTGTCCTGGGCATCCTTTCACAGTCTGAGATCAGGAGTTCAATCTTGCTTTCAGCTGAAGGGTGGCCTGGTTACATCTAATGCCTTCTCAGAGGGGTTTGCTCTGGCTTGTCCTTCTGCAGAAAGCAAACAACTTGTTTGCTTTCCAACAGGTTTTTGACAAAAAACCCAGGTTTTTTTTTCATTCCTCAGCTTCAGACCTGTGATGCTTTGGCACTTAGAGATGTGCACATGTACCACATGGACATGCTGCATTCTTGTTGTCCTAATGGACTTCACTGGACTTCACTGTCTGGAAGATTCTTCCACCCAATGGCTTACTGTCAAGTCAGGTGCTTATGCTTAGGGCAAGGTGTTGCCTGAAGAAATGTAGTTCATTTCATCTGGTTAATATGGCTAGCTCAGAATTGCTTCACACAGGTAAATCTAATTTGCACAGTTCCCACTCAGAAGAGAGATGGTTCATGAAGTGGTGTTTGAAATCCAGTCCTTGCATGTGTTTAGCCTGTTCTCAGGAAGGATGAGCCAACAGAAGCAATGACTTAATTGCATTTGGTAGATCACAGTTTTACTAATGCTGCTATCCATTCTGGTGCATAAATTCCCCCCCAATCCATACTGAATGCTTAAAAACCTGCTTCCCTTTTGTTTAAAAGCACACATTAGTTGCAGTTTTGAAAATGGCATTTGGAGCCTTTTGAATACGTACAGACTGCATCAAACACACAACAGAATGAAATGTGGAGATCACAGAAGGTGCCACTTTCTGGGGCTATTGAAAATGGATGGACTGCTTATATATTCTTGTCTGGCCTTGCTCAGAGAGGAGGCTTGGGGAGGATGACATCCTCGAGGATGACAAAATGATTTGTCCGAAGATGAAATAAACTTGAATCTGGGAGTTTTGAAGGTCAGGTCTCTATGTGTGCCCCTCAATGCAGTTATTGGAGTTGTACCTGTGCTCCTGTCTTTACCCTGTGTACCTGTGCCTTTACCCTCCTCTTTCCAAAGAAACAGATATGAAAATTCAGGGGTGTAATCTCTGTTAACAAGTCTTTAGTGTCTGGTCATCAAGCAGTATGGGTGGGGACAAGCACACAGACTGGACTAGGTTATTAATGTACAAATTCATGCCCCACACATGGCCCTAAACACTTGTTAGCATATGCATGTATGGCTGCTCACTGATGCATTCAAATCAGTTTTTCCTTTGGTCTACTTCTGCTGGATGTCTGTTTCCTGACTGGTGCCCAACAGCATTGCTCTAGATGGATTTGTCCAGGCAGTGTAAAGCAGACTTTGCTGTCTTGCACAGATGCACCAGCAGTGCCTTGAGATGCAGCCTTGGTTGCTTTGGTGGTCGTGTCTCTCCCTTCTGATCACTTCAGCCAAATACTACCCACAGCAGAACTGCAATAGAAGTTCAATCAAGAGAAGGAAAAGGATAGCATTGACTGAGGCTGAGTTTAAAATCTTTTATTATTTAGCTTTGCCAAACAGATAATGGAATCTGAAGTTGATTTGCCTAAAATGTTTTGAAGTGGATGCCACCCCTGCCTGAGACAAAGAGGACCTCAGTGGCAGCAGGAACCTTAGGCTATGGCAGCAGTTCAAAAGAACACTTTTAATTTTGTATGCAACAATGTAAACTTCAAAAATAGTAAACTATAACCTTTTTCCCCCCCCTTTTTACATAGCATGTGATCTATCACAGATAGAAATTTAATGGCGAACCAAAATCGCATAAGTAAACATCCTGGTGCTTACAAGTTTCATAAAAAGTGTTACATTTGATGTAAATATCTTACATTTTTAACTCTTAACACTCACAATTATGGAGTAAAAGCAACTGGCGATTCACCCCCTTAGTCCATGCTCTCAGACTGTACATCAGCAACCACGCTCTTGCCAGCCCCTTTGCTCATTTTCGGTCAGATTGTCCCACACGTGACCAAGATTTCCCCTTCCTCACATTGGCATTAATCAAGCGCAGCTCCACACAGGGGTAAAACCTGTGAAGTGAGAAGAGAACCAGGTCTCCTGCGCTCGAACTTGCAGTCCCCTGGGCCCCACGCTCCCACAGAAGCCACGGCGTGTATGGGAGGCACGTCCTGATGTCGGTGGGAATTTGGGGTCCTTCAGGGCCACGGACCTGGGCCCTGCTTTTGCAAGTGCCTCGCAGCAGGACCTGGTTCTGTGTGGATAAAGACGAGTTCTGTAGAAGGCACTGGATTTCTCTTGCATGGTTTTAAATGTGGACTACAGTCATATGCAGAATAAGGAGATTTGGGCTCTAGACTGCTTTCTCTCTATGCTTTAGTGCAAGCATTTTTTGCGCTTGAATTTGCCCTGTTTGCAGCGCAACATGCGCCCACCTACATAGAGTGATTTCTAAATCTTCCTTCCACTCTTCCCCCCATCTTCCCGTCCCCAAAAAGATTCCCTTTTTTTTTTTTTTTGCTCCTTGAAAACTTTCAAAGTACAGCTCTGGTCAAAAAATAAACATGTGATGTAGCATAGCATTTGTTTCTTTTAAATCACAGTGTGCAATGCATCATTCAGTACCTAATGTACAAAATGTCTGCCCTGCTTTTCATGAAAGTCATTCTTTAAAATAACCTATGCAAATATATTTTGACTATATATTACATTCATTTAAAAAGAGAAAAGAGGTTCTTGGTTTGCAGTTTTTTTCAGTGTACTACTTAAGTGAAAGATCAGATGTGGAAAAAGTACAAGCAAACTGGACATGCCAAGACTCGATGCTTTAGATGGTGATCATATCAAAACTGTACAGGTATGTACACCGTGTTGGACAGGTGTGCTTCTTCCCAAGAAAAGACCTTTGCGTCATCATATGTAACGTTAACCACAAAGTTTTGGTAAAAGAGTATTTAATGAGCAAAGGATGACATGGAAGGGCGAGTTCTCCGGCTTTTATTAGGCAGTCCTGAAGCAATGTCTCCATTCCCTTCGGGAACTTCTTCCTTCTTCCGGACTTTGAGACGTGTGAGGAGCTTTATTACCCAGACATCCCATTCCTCTGGCAAGAGCAACAGGAGGAAGCCCAGGCCAATAATGATGATGGCGATTACTCGGACACTATTGAAGACAATTTCACTCGTGTAGTGGTCAACAACTGTGTGGGACATTGAACAGGTGTTATTACATGGGAAATGGCGTTAGAATGGTATCCCTTGTCCTCCCCCTCACCTCCCCAGCTCTGAGGGCTGGCTGTGGCAGGAGAACATGGCCATGGAGGCAATGATGGCAAGGACACTATTTCCTGCTGGGTGACCACACAGCAGGGTATGTCCACAGCACAGGAGCTCCTGCTGAGGTGCAGGGACACAGAGAAAGGGGCATTTCCCCTCCCTGCACAGCAGCTCGTGCTTGAAAACTTTTCTTGTCACCCTGAGTGCCCTGTGAAGTAAGAAACCCTGCCCAGGCTGAGCCATCCACACACTCTGGAAGGATCACACCTTTTTGGTAGCCAAATCTGTGGGAGCAGTGCCCAGCTCTGTGTGCACTTGGTCAGCATAAAGCTGGGAGCTGCCACCTGCACCGTGGCACCAGCTGAGCCTGCTGGGTTTTAGGAGCTGCTTTAGGTTGGGGCTGTGTCTGCACTCCCCTGCCCAGCCCTCTCAGACTCTGCAGTCTCTTGGCTTTCACTACACTTCAGAAAAACTGTCAGAGAAATGTACCAGGCCATGTCCAAAATTGAATTGTCCAGTGTTCTTGATAAACACCCACAGTGTTATTTACCACAGCAAGCAGAGTTACTAGTACATATCTGCTCTAAAATGTAAGCAATTTTATTTGTTTGAATTTAGTGTTAAGTCTGCCTTGAATAAATCATTAAAAACTGATTTCTGCTTTATCCATGGGGCTTTATTCCAGCCCAGAGATGAATGTCTTCAAATCAACTTTGTTTTTCAGTATGCAGGCTTCTTCAGACAGTAATTTAAAAACCAATTTTAGGGACTATGAATATTCATGTAATATTATACAATACATATATAACACATAAATAATAAATTTTTAATGAGTGTCATCTATGTAAGTCTTTGAGAGAAGGTGCAAAACATGTTTAATAAATCTATTTTCTTTTATCCCTGCTGTGTATTTGAAAGGCCACGGATTTAATATATTCATTAAGATGCAATAGACAGAAAAATCTTACCTGCATTCACTGGGACACTCAGTACAATTCCAAGAGAAATCAAGGTGGGGTAGGTAATAGCAATCCCAAAATTTAGTAGAATATTGAATGCTGATGAAGGAAAGAAAAATGTCTTTTACTACAGTGAAATTAGGCAGAAAGAATGTAAAATGAAATACGTATATTTTATTACTCTGTTGTTCAAATAAAGGGTACATCAGCTTCTGTTGTTTTTCCTGAAGACATCAGAGGACAAAGCTCTGCCTGCTGCATGTCCACCTGTCTGAGACATTGCTGTTTCTGGGGAACTCTGTATTCCTCTGGAGCCCAGTGGCAGGATCAGGGTGGGTTTTGGGTACAGCCTGTCTCTCAGTGTCACGTGCAGTAATTCCCACTCTTTACACTGATCCAGTGATCCCCTTGGCCCTGAAAGACTTAACACTCTTCATCTGGGAGATTTCAGCTGAACAGGAGGTTCTGTCTGGGTGCTTTTTTGTAGAAAAACTGCCTCCAGTTGCAGGTGGAAGATGGTGTAAATCTAACCCTCTTCCAGACAGGAATTTGCTACATATAATTTAGTACTATGAAATTATAATATCATTACTACGGAATGATTATAATATCACTCCACTGTAATACCATACGCAGTTTGTGGGGTTTTTCATGACAAATTAATAATTTCTTTGGATCAAATTCACCCTTGTTTTAAGGTGATCAGCTTTAGCAGACTCGAGAGAGCCTTGCCAATACTGAGCTTGTTGGGAGCTGGGGCTTCGACTGTCTTCCAGTAGTACCCATTTATTGCACATGCCAGGGATTGCTTGCCAAGTTCTGCACCACTTTCTTACAGACTCCTTCCACTGAGTCCACTGATAAGTAACTTAAGGTACTTCTGGAGTTGTGATTGTTCTGGGTAAAAGAAGCTGGGACTCAAGACAGGGGTAGAGAAGAGCTATTTCCAGTAGAAATTAATGTTTTAGGAGAGGGGATTCCATCATCCAGTTTAGGGACCAACTGCAGCAGCAAGTCAACACATCTAGTCTAACAATGAACAAATGAACAGTATCATGTTTCTGATAACCTTTAAAACTTAGGTTGGCACCCCTCCCCACTGGGCTCCTTTGGTGGCACAGCAGTGGCAGCAGAAGAGAGAATTGCCACCTATCAAAATTTCCATCACTGTGCAACACTACATTTTCAAAAGTTTCCTCCTCCTTAGGAGTAGCAATTACTCCTCCTTAGGAGTAGGAATGAGCTATTACTGCAGGCAGCAGAGGCTTTGGAGTCTGGCCTTGACTGGCCTGGCCTAACCTCCTTGCTGTGGGGATGCTGATGAGCCCCAGACACTGCCCTCTCAGCAGGGCTGCTTCCATCACAGCCTGGGCAAGTGTTACCTGTCTCTGTCCCACAGAGTTCATGAGTAGGAGTTAGGACAAGCTTTACAGTTTAGTCCCACAGCACCTTCTAAAGAGAGCCACAGTATTTTGGTGTGGTAATAACAGCAGAAGTGAGGTCTACATTGCTCCTAGGAATGGGCCCTCTCATAATACCTCAAGCTAATAATTAAGATGAGAAGAAGAGAAAACAGCTCCAGTATGGGAGATGCTTGCAGTTTCCACCAGTGGCCAGTTTCTGGCACCCTCCTCCACCCCAAGCAGTGTGAGAGCACCCCCCATCTACTCACTCAATAAGAGAATTGAAAATCCGCAGAGGTTCCCCCAAGGAATGATGTCAAAAGAGCTCCAGTACTCCACTTTGGTAAAATAAAGGATGACAGGAATACAGGTAACGAAGAGGACGTTGAAGACAGCTAACACAGACAGGAATAAGGCAGCTTCTCCAAATTTAGCACTGCCCAAAAGAAGTTTGAATAAAACCTAAGAGAGGAAAATACATGGGTTTAACTCTCTTTCACCACATCCCTGGAAGGCTGGTGTTCTGTTCTGGCCCCTGTGCGGTGATGCTTGCTGGACACTTGGGATGGCTGCTCATGAAACTGTGGTGAGCAGCTTGTGTGGCCCAGCCTTCACCCTCCTGGCACCCCCTGGAGCACAGGTAGGGACAGCTGCCAACTGAGTCCAGGCAGAAAGGGGATTCAGCACCTTTGTCTGTGCGTGTCCTGAAAGGAAAGGTCACTAACCCTTCAACCCTAGCTGAGACCCTTCAGTCTTTTTTCTGCACCTCCAGAAAACTTGACTTTAAGAAGACTGTGGAGCAGGACAGGGGGAGGGGAGGAGAGGAGATGAAGCAATCTAGATGAAGAGTCTCCCTGCATGAGACATCACTGGTCCAGGCCTATGGCTGCCACCTGAGCAGTGCTGTGGTGACAGGCAAGCACAGTCCATGCTGACTAGCTCTCTTTCCACCTTCTCCCTGGGAACCCATCTCCAGGAGGCAGATAGCAGAGCAGCAGCCCCACAGCCCAGAGCACAGATACAGCACGGGCAATGAGACTGCGGGGAGGGATTTAAAATCTTCGTTTTGTTAGTGGGAGAAGGAAAAAAGGACAGTAGAAATGAAAGATGTGAGCAGCCCATCTGTGGCTGGGGTCTGCCTGTGGACAGGTCTCATCTGGAGTCTGCATCGGTTTTCACCACAGCTGCGGAGATTCTGTTGGATACCACGGTCTGGGAACAGTTTTCCTCTGCAGAATAGACCAGCCAGTGTGACTTAGTGGTTTGTGCTGCACTGGCAGTCCCCATCACCAGTGTCAGTTCTCTCCTTTGCCTACACAGAGCGGGCAAGTCTGCAGGGCTGCCGTGCTGGCAGGGCTCTGCCCACTCCCACCATCCCACAGCCGTGCCCAGTGCAGCAGTGTTGCTGCTCTGCAATGTGGAGCAAAATGTCCCAAAAGCCACTTACTCCTCATTTGCCACCTGAGGCCAGCGTGTTGCGCTGCCCCCAGCAGGGCCACCTCGACCTGTCCTCCTACCCCAGATAGGCAGTGGCTCTGCTGCACATGGTGAGATCTGTCTGCCTGCAGATCTGCCTGCCCCTTTGGCAGCTCACGGACACTGAGCCAGACCGTGGAGAGCAAGAGCAGGGTGGCAGCAGCAGTGGAATGTGTTGCACAACATGCTGCAGAGCTTCATCTGTGCTAGCATGCAGAGCACACTGCAGAGTAACACCCTGCTGGCACTGCCACCACCACCCTCCTGTGCACGGGCTCTGCTGGAGCAGCCCTGACACTCCCGTTCCCAGAAAGAGCAGCAGTGTCACAGGAAGGGAACACAGCTAGGCTCTGGCTCTTTCCTTTTCTCTGGTTTGGTGGGCCATGTCTCTGGTCCTGCAAGAAAATGCTGTTAGAGGAATGAGCTGCATGGAATTTCATGACCTTCCTAATGTAAGATATCAGCTGAAAAAGTGAGCAGAAAGCATCGCAGCGTTGTGCTGAAGGGCACAGGCGGATGCTTCTCAGTTTGGCAAGTTTCCCTGGACTGCTGGTGTTAGGGCTGCAGGGCTCTCCTGGCCAATTCCTCTTGTATGACTGCTACAGTGCAATTCATTAGACCAGATGAAGCTGTCTACATCTCCTAATCTACACATCTGAGCCAAGGTGGGCAAACCACTCTCTACAAATGCTTATTCCTCACTGTGGACTGTGACTCTGAGCACTGTGGGCAGCAAGTGCCCAGAAGTGTCTCAGGCTGAGTGAAATGGCTCTGCTCAGCAGAGAAGGCTGCATCTTACACGTAGTGCAGCTTACCCAGCTGCTCAGGATGAGCTCTTGATTCATAGGCATGTGCTTTGCATTTTAAGGATGTGATTGCATTCATGATGAGCAATGCTTTAAGCCCAACACAGGCTACATATGCCACTGAAGGAGGACTGGCAAAGTGAGGTAACAAAGTGACTTCAATAAGCTAAATCTCTGCAGGGTGCTTCCAGAATGAGTGCTTAAATCCAGAATATGTGGAAAATCCACCTCATTTTTCAGGAAGGTGGAATATCTCTAAATCATCCCCCTGGCTGAGGAGCACTGGAGGAGACTATTCCAAGGAAACAGGAGTTTTTATCCTAAGTGAGAGCAGACATCAAAGCAAGTGAACACCTGAATGCAGTGCTGCAGAACCAGTGTGTTTGTGGCACAGCTCTCAAACAAGGGCACATGGCACTGAACTGCACAGAGGTTTGCAAGTAAGACAAGAACAGCCAAAGTGAGTGATGAGGGTGACAGGCATCCTTCTGGGGGGAAAAGAGCCGGGTGTTCTTACCTTGTAGAGAGCAGACATTGAGGCAGAGCCCACCACCAGGGCTATCCCAATAACGGAGTGGCTGTGAAACCCATCGGCGTACGTCATCATAACTATCCCTGCAATAGCAAATATAGCAGCCACGATCTGGTTGGAGACAAAGAAAGCAAGGAAGTGTTACTAGACAACCCCCACGGTGGAGAGGGAGGCAGGCAGATTTACATGCAAGCACAGTACTTCTGCATCGTCTGCTTATGTAGAAAATAGTAGCAAGCCTGAGCCAATACCCAGGGAGCAGATGCTGCCTGCCCTCGTGGTTTCCCTGGCTGCAGGGAAGCTGCAGGCAGAGCTGCAAAGGAGTGGCTGCTTTGGGTGTGTGCAACAGGCCAGACTGCAGGGCTCAGGGCCTCTGACTGAGCTGAAGTGGGGATTTAATCTCTGTCACCGAGCTTCCCCATCACTGGGTCCCTGCAGCCTGTGTGTGACAATAATACACAAGTAATAATTCCCTGGAGCTTGCAGAAAAGGCTTCGAGTCCCGTTGAAGTTTTGGAGGAAAAAGGTTATAGAAATAAACAGGGGAATAAAATTCATGAAACTACTTTCCAGTCTAGACGAGTCATTGCAAAGAGTAGGAGGAGGGTTTGTTCAGCCAGCTACGCACGCTGCAATGCCTGAAGGGTGTCTCCCAAACAGGGAGCATTCACAAAGGTAGGGGATGTGCTGCCCAGATTTGCCAGGGTCAGCAAGAAACCCCTGGCTTCTCTGGGATTGTCCTGCCAGGTACCTTCAGCCTCTCAGGGTGTTCATTCTGGGGTGAATAGGGCTTTTTTGTATCCTCATGTTTCCTTGTTCTGCACGGCTGTGAGGGATGCCTTGCTTACACCACATGCCTTTTGGCTGCGCAGTCACGGTGATACCTCCCAGATGACTGTGATATTAGTTTATTTTGATCCACAGATGGGTAAGTGTCAGCCAACTGCCCCCTCTCCCAGGACCACACTGGGGTTTTAAGCCCCATCCACAGGCTGCAGCTGCCTACACATCCATGGGCTTCCTCTCACCTTACCTGCTTCCCACCAGAGATACCGGAGCTGCTGTGAAGATGCAGGGGGGAAAGTCTGTGTGTCAAGCTCTGCTGCTGCCTGATCAGCAAGATGTGGTGGGCTAGCCTCTTTACCTCTGCAGGTCCCAACCCCAGCAGCACCAGCAGCCTCTTCCCTGGGCTGAGCGGGGCTGGTGCCAGGGGACACCCAGAAACCAGACAATCATCCAGCACATCTTTCCCGCACGCTGACATCAACGCCTTCAATCTCACCTAACACAAAAATGGCCTCGTTTTGCAAACAAAACCTTATCAATTTCTCCACAGGTGTTGCTGTATAATAGCAGGGTGGCATAAAGGCAGAATGCTGATTTCTGACTTGAACAGGGTGGAGCCCAGTACAGCCCGCAAAGGCTGGGTATACACACTTTAGATTTGGAGAGGTTCAGATACAGCATCTTGGCTTTCAGCCCTGTTGGCATTTGGTCTCTACATGCACAGCTGTGGGACATCACGTCTAAAGTGAAGTTTTCTGGTGGTGTAACTGGGCCCATTGGTCCAGGACAGACTTCTTTTAAAGGCAAGGAGAGAACCCCTCCCTGCATGGCTCTACAGCAGTGTGGAGCAGTTCTCTCACCAGTGTGCTGATGCTTGTCAAATAAAAATCCAGACACTCTGTGTGGCTTCAGAGGCACAAGAAAAAAGGTCATTGAATGAGACAAGCATAAGGCAGGTGCAGAAAAAGGAAGAAGAAATTTGCCTTCACCCAACACATAATTAAGTGAAGGAAAGCTTTGCAGTTGCACCCTGTGGATGTGAAAAGCTTACAAAGATAAATTCATGGAAGAAAAAAATTCAGTCAATGACTATTAGCTATAGAAACACTGCTTCCATCTCAGGAAGTCCTTGAGCCTCAAATTGTTGGAGGCTGGAAAGTCTCATGAGGAAATATCATTACAGGCTTTTCCTATTTAGATTTTTCTAGGTGTCCACTACAGGCAGCTGCTGCAGGGAGGCTTCTGGGGCAGAGGCACCTCTGCTCTGACTCACTATGGCTCTTAGAGAGCTGCAAGGTCCATGGCTCAGGCTTAGCTGAAAGATGGCAACTCTATACCTTCCTTCAACATCACCTGTGCTACAGATGAGTTGACAAAGAGTGGAAGATGCAGCATTTCCTCTAGCAGCTGCTCCAGTTGTGGCTGTCCTCCTTCACCATGGAGGGGCTTGTCCAGCCTTCACTGGAGGGTTGAGGACCTCAAACACATTTCAGGCTGTACCATCCAGCTGGCACCTACAGGTGCATCAGTGGAGGGAGCCTGCCTCAACCCCCACAGGCAGCTGTAATGCCTCTGCACTGGAAACTTGAGGGGTGCATGCATGAACTGCAGAATGAAAAGTCTCCAGCTTTGCTTTTAACATCAGGAGCTGATCAGCTTCAGAGCACCTTCCATGCCTCTACAGTTTGAGATCTGATAGGTTATGTATTTCCAAGTCCCACAGGCAGATGTGCTTGTCTATATGTTGTGTACATAGGAAGCACTTGCAGGTGATGGCTCTCTTTGATCCTGAGCTGTTTTATTCACCATACCGTGGAGGGAAACACCAAAGTCAAAGATTGAAGCAAATAAATGCAGTCTGCAAACAGTTCTGCTGGGGCAGAGGTCCTTGCCTATTCCATCAAGCACGTCACCAGTGTCAGACGAGTCTTGGCGTCACTTTGCAGTCTCCTGTTGACCTGCCAGGGGTGTCACATACACCTACTCTGAAAGCCTTTCAGCCTTTCTATCAAGCACATTGTTAGTGGTGGTAACAGGCTGCTCACACACCACAGTGCCCACAGATGTCACAGCACTGCAGGGTTTGCAGAGGCACTGGTACAGACACTCACAGCTTCATTATGTGTCTTTGACAGCTCACAGCCCAGTCAGTCGTTCTCTGGGCACAATGAAGGGCAAGGGGGAAAAGCTCAACTTCATTAGGGGAGATGACAACACTTAAAAGTACCTGAATTACAAAGATGGGAACTTGTAGCTTGCCCTTACATTTAAACTCCAACCAAATTGTGATTGATGTGCTTATCAAGCTAGTAGTTGCACTTCTGAAGGTCAAATAGGGTACTTGTACTTGCTTCAACCCCACTGAGCCTTTCTCACCTTGCCTCTGTCAGTGGGCATGAACAGGGACACCCAACTGTGCAGTCAGAGCTTTGCTGTGGCACTATCCATCCTGCTGCACTGGTGTGGGAGTGGAGCAGGAGCATGGGAAGGCACTCCCTTGCAGCCTTATCTGCCAGTACCCTCTCAAAGGGTGCTTTCAAGAGGGTCAGCAGCTCTGACAGAGGGTGGCCCTGAGGGATCACATGCTTTGGGGCCAGGCTGTGTGGTGAAAATGCTGTCACTCCCAGCAAAGCCCCAGCAGCTGTCTTTCCTCCTGGTTGCCAGTCCCAGGAAGAAGGCAGTGTATAGGTGTCATCCTGAGGCTATCCCCAGAAGCAAAACTCTTTCTGCCTACTGCTTTTCACATGGGCTGTTCAGAAAGGAGAGGAAAGAGGGAAGAAAAGGATTCTCTCCTAAGACTCCATGTCCTTTGTGGACAGGAGTGCCCTGGCACTCCCACTATGCAACACAAAGCTGGGTGGTAGAACTGCTGTGCAGCCATGTGCCCTTCCAATCCCTAAGGACAAGTGCCTCCTCATTCTCATATTGCCACAGGTCAGGATGCCACAACTGTTTAAGAGCAAATAGCCCAGTCTGTCTGCAAACCCCTTCTCCCTGCACCCAGGTTTGTTGCTGGCCTGGGAAGGAGACAGCTGTGTTCCTTCTTGGATTCAGGAGACAGCTTGATCGTTCTCGGGAAGCCCCCCTGCCAAAATATCACAATGCCAGGTTCCACAAGGAGAGGCTGGAACACATGGCAGGAGTATCACACAGCCAACACTGCCCTGGTCCCTGTTCTGCTTCTCTCCTTCATTGCTGCTTTCCCAAAGTAGTGCAGATAGGAAACAGAAGACAGCTGGACATGGCTGGGACCACCACTTGGGTCTGCTTCTCTGCTCCTTCCACTCCTTCTGCCCCTTGGAGAAGGGAGGCGTACAGAACAGGATTCATCCCCCAGTGCATGTCCCCTGCCATGGCATAAGGCAACCTGCCCAAGAAGCTGCTGTAAAGTCCCTGACCAGCATGGATGTGCTCTTCCATCATGGCCATGCACTCAGGAGAGCCCAAGGAGCACCTCTACTCCAGCATGCATGCGCCCATGTGGGTATCCCTACACACACAGGTTGGATTCTATCCCTCCATGCCACAGCCATATTCCAGGGTGAGAGATGGCACATTCAGACTGAGCAGCAAGCTGTAGGTGCAGACTGCAGTGGTCACCCCTCCATACACCATCTCTCCTGGTGTCCCACCAGTGCTACAGCTGACAGTGCCACAAGAGAGATGAAGACACAAAAAGACCTTTTTTTATTTTCATTTATCTAAATGGCCAGCACATCCAGATTTGATAACAATGAGACTTCCAGGATCATTTCAGGATATCCTTGCTTTTGCTCTCAAAAAACACTGTTAGTTTGTTTTTAGGGTAGGGCTACTTGGGCAGAGGGGTGGGCAGACACCAGCTGGCCACACCGAGCTTTTGGCAGGTACATTTTGCAACCATCCCCTGAGCAGCCTCTTGGCTGCCACCACAGAAAGGCTGGCCAAACTCTCCTGCCAAATTCTCCTGCCAGAGAGAAATACTTCCTGAAAAGTTAACTCTCAGCTGCTCCAAGCAACAACCTCTTAGCACTACCAGCCCGAGCGGGGAGCTCCTCTAGTGGGCAGGAGACAGGAATAATTACAGTTATTGCTGTTGATCTTGATTATTAATTAATATTAATTGGTGAAGCAAGGAAGGAGGGACCCACTGGTGCCTTTTCCTTGTGGTTGATCCTGGCCCTGGCAGGAGCTCCTTGGCTCCAGGCTGGTGGGTTACCCACCCACACACTGCTGCCAAAAATATGCTGAGGGCTGCTAGAATGGCAGCAGGGTCAGCAGGGAGCTGAGGGGTGATGAACCCCCTGCACGTGGCTCTGTTGCTGCTGCTGCAGCGGCATTTGCGTGGGATGCAGAACTAAAGGTGTAAGCAAACATTTGGGGTGCCACCAGAAGAGCAGCCTACAGCTGCTGGCCAAATTCAAGTCCCTGTGGACATCTTCCACATCTTTCACGATCTTCCATCAGTGACACAGGCAGACACACGTTTCGGCCACAGGTGGGCGAGGGCAGCCCAGCTCTCCTCTCCTGTCCACAGCTGCTGCTACCTGACACCTGCAAAAGATAACTGTCCCACCCTGCAAGCCTGCTGTCACACGTAGAAAAGTGATTATTAAATCACTGTTAAATTCCCAGGATGGGACCAGAAGTGTGTAGCCAGGGCTTGCGAGAAAGTGCAGTTAAAAACAACCAGGCCTGGTGTTAGCCTAGGAATCATCACTTGGAAGGCACTGGCAAGGGCTGACACACCTCCACAGCAGCACGGGGACAGCACATATATCCTTGTGCCACACTCTGGAGCAAGTTACCTCTTTCCTGATGGAATATGCACAGAAGCATTGGAGCCAGGGGCTCCAGGAGCTCACAGGCACCTGGGAAGGCTGCAGGGAAAGATGCATCCCTGCTCCACAAGGACTTCTGTGCCCCTGCAGCCGTCTGCATGGCTGCTGCTTGACCCAGCTGGCAGGAGGCAAGGGGTAAAGGAAAGACACAAGGGTGAGGGGGAAGAGGGGAGACAGAGATAAGGAGTCACTTACCCTCACTCCCATGAACCTGTCCCTCAGAACGATCCATGAAAGCAAGAACACAAAAGCTTTGTTGCAGCAGAACAACACGGAGACATCCGTAGTGTTTATTTTCTTTATTGCATGTAAGTAAAGGTAGTTTGTGAGTGTCCAAAGAACACCAAAGGGTGCTGCCTTGGTAAAAAACACCTTCAAAGTCAAGCCATTGTCTCCAAAAAATCGGCAGCACTCCCTAAAACAAGGAGAGAAAGGCAGTGTTATTACATAAGCCAGTCACAGTCTGCAGCAAATATATGGCTTTTTTTTGCTCCTCTTCTTTTCCTTTGGGGAAAGAGAGGCACACACCTTAAAGAGGAGAAAAAAACCAAGTTTCAGCTTCTGCTGCAACAGCCAGCACCTGCACAGGGTACAAACAGGCAGGGGCTGCAAACATGGGAGGGGGCTGCAAAGAAAGAGCAAAGGGAGAGGTGATGACAGGAGGTGAAATCTCACTCTTTCCGCCAGTCCCTTCACAGTGAACATTTTGTGGGGCAAAGCAGGGTGGGGCCATCCTCCTCCCTTCACCCCTGTGGGCACCAGGATGCTGAGGGCCCAGGGTTGGCAGCAAAGCCCCTAGCTCCCCGCTCCTGCTGAAGCCATGGGAAGCTGGTGCCCATCTGATCTGCTATGTGGGGCTTGGGAGAAGCCTTGCAGGAGCCCGGTCTGGGGCTTTTCCACACAAGGGGTGGGATCTGGCTCAGATCTCCAACAACATCAGGGCAGGAGCAGGAGGGGGCAGCAGGCAGCTGCCTTCTCCCCTTGAGGTGAGAACATGGTAGCACCTGGGAACAGGCTGGAGCAGCAGTGGGGAGTCAGGAGCTCATGTGTGCAGTCCAGGCTGGGGATGCTGTGAATCCCTGAGCAGGTTCAGCCCTGGTGCAAAGAGCAGAAGCATCAGCAGTTTGTTTGTGTCCCGAAGGCAGCAGTGGACAACAGGACACAGGAGCTGATGGTGTACAGCCTGGCCCTGCTGGCAGGACTGGCATGGGGGGAAACCTGCCTGCAGCCTGTGCCTGCCAGGCAGCAGAGCTGGAAGCTGCCAGCTGCGTGGAAAATCAGGAACACAAAGAAGGAATGAATCAGCCTGCGGGGCTGGGGCTGTGGCCAGCAGCCTGCAAGGTGTGTGTGGGGCAGCCAGCACAGTGCCCTGGCCTGCAGTGCCATTGCTCACTTTCAAACCTGCAAACTCCCCGGAGCCCTGAAGCACTTTATTGGGGTGTTTTGACAAAACCTGAACAGAATTAAATTTCCTGCTGACAATGATGGAGGAACAGGTTTTCACTGCTGTCATGAATTTCAAGCTGTTTGTTTCCTGAGACTGGGCATGTAAAGATCATTATTTGGACACTGATGAAAGCATTTTTTTGATCCACTTTCCCAGAAGACAGGGCTGTACCAAATGAATACCCAAAAAAACCCCATCCATTCTTTGAGCCTCATCAGATCTCCGTATCCACAAGTCTACATCAACCTGCAGCCCCTCTGCTACAGCAGGTGCAAGACTGCAAGGTAGAGGAAACACATTTTTTGTGTTTACTGGATTTTGTTGCTTGCCAGTCCCTTGTATCAAATCATATGCAGAACTTGCCCATCTCTGGATGTGATGACCCTGTACTTTGGCTGCTGTACATGGACACTTCAATTTGAGCTGCAGGTTCTGCATTGTGTTGCTCAGTGTCCCTTGTCCTCTGCAAAATTGCCTGCTGGCAGCAGCCTGTTCCCTGCCAAACCTGTTCCCTGCCTCTCTGAATCAGTAGAAGAGCTGCCCATCTGCACTACAAACCACAGCCCAACTTCCCCCGTGCTGGGGCCATGCTGGGCTGTTCAGGGATGCTCACGACCCTGACAGATGCTGCCTGTGCTCAGCATGTGGCTCTGATCCATTCTCCCCTTCCACAAACGCTCTACCCACTTCAGGTCTGCCCTTCAGTCCTGCACATCCTATGATGTACAGCAGATGTCAGGGCAGTGACTGTACCAGCCACTTGCCACAGGGGACACAGGGAGTGCAAAAGGAAGCAGAGACACACTGAAAAAGCCAGTCCAAAACTTCATTAGAGGCTTAAACCTTCTTCCTAAAACACCATGGAGGGTTCCATGGCCAGAGTGTCATAGACAGTCAGCCTCATGCTCTGAAAACAAAAAACACAGGCACAGTTTAAATTAAATGATGTGAAGCAAGATTAGTATGAGAGGAACAGGAAGGCTGTACTCAAATGAAAGGACAAAAATGGAATTTATGTTGGGATTCATCCTGGGGAAAAAAAATTCCTCCTGCCAAAAATCTGTTCCCCACATATAGAACTGGCTATCACTATTTTGTATACAGTAAAAATGTGTGCTTCTACTGTCTTGTGGGCCTGATTCTTCTTTAGTAAATACCACTGGATTCCTATGATACCACAGCCTGGATCCCTGAAGCATCCAGTGTAGTGCCATGCTGCCCCAAAGGACAGCCTTGCCCTGACATGGATCATGACCCTGAGCTTCAATGCTCACTTTGGGAGTGTCTCTCTGCCCTATACAATGTTTCCTTTTAGCTATTTTGTCTGGCTTCACCAAGAGTGAATTACTCTTCGTAGGCTGGCTCCAGCTGTCAAAGGAGACCTCCTTATGGCAGGGATTTCCTTCTCCAGCACAGAGCTGTAAGGAAGCTTCTCCCCAGGGACTCCTAGGGCTGTGGGGGGTGCTGCCAGCCATGCACCCACATCCACAGTGAGCCCTGTTGTTCCGAACAGGGGCACTCCTGTAGATGGGTTAGATGGCTGCCTTGGACCTGGTATCCTCACTGAAGTATGAGGAGCATCTGGGAGAATGTAGCGTATTTCGTCTATGTGCCATACAATAAATATGTATTATAGAGAGTATATAGAGAGTATTATAAATAATACTCTCACAATTAACTGCCTCCCCGGTTTGCCACTGCTTACTGGGAAAACTGGTTTTCCCTTGGTGCCATAGCACAGCTTGTGAAGCTATACCAGGAAGCATTTGATGAAGAGTTTTCAGTGAGTAACTGTGGATAAAAAGTTATGGGAAGCAAGACAGGACTGTGGTATAACCTATGCTGTAAACTCAAAACAGTCAGGGATGGCTCCAGAAAAAACGACCTTAATCTAAAATATTTTGTCAGAACTTTTGAACACAGATGTTCCTGCTGTCCACTTATTTCTGGGCCCAGCACAGACATGGGCACATCCACTATGTTAACCCCCACACTGTGTTAAAAAAGAAATTGTCATCTTAGACTGACCAAACCTATTCCTGCTCACATTACCAGAAATCCTTGCACCTGCTGCTCCCACCTGCCTCCTCAGCCTGAAAGCTGCTTTGGTGCTCTCTTGATTATACATTTTTTACCTTGCTGGGAACACCATGCTTTGCCCATGGAACAGTGGGACTTTGGTGAGGACAACAGCCAGAAAGGCTATAGGGGAAAGTTGGTGCAAAGTTCATGTGCACCCTGGCCCTGTGAATCCCCAGGTCGTGCTGAGCACAGCTCCTCTTTGGCAGAGAAGCTGCTCTGCAGAGCTCCTCTGCTGAGATGATCTCCCCCTTAATCTCTGTAATCCTCTATGTGAGGAGTAAATTCCTGCAAGTGCCAGGCTGTGTGCAGATAGCATGGCAGCACACAGCAAGGAGCTGTGGCATTGCAGGGTGTAATGCTGTATTTTTTTAGATAATCTTCCTGCATTATTTTCCTTGATTCTGCCATCATGAGCTGGCGCTCCATTGTAATCACAGCGATTGGTTTAAAATATAAATGCAAGGCATTAACAAAGGCAACAGCCAAGGTCTGTGTAAGACTGGAATGGAAATGTCAGAGGAAGGAGACTGGAAGGGAAACGTTCTGGCTTAATTGCTGCAGCAGCAATATAGAGAAGTTTGCTTCCACCTAGAAGTGCCATGTGCATGTTCAGACACCCTGAAGGCTGCTACGGTACTACAGGAACTGGGGTAAAAGATACTACAGAAAAGCCTAAGGCACAACAATCTTCTCTTGGTGTCTTAACTCTAAATTGTTTGCTGGTTTCTTTAGCTTTCATCTATTACATCTTGTTCTTCCTCATAACTTTTTTAGTGTGTGTCTTCATTAACCCAGCAAATGGCAAATTAGCTCTATTCCATTAGGCAAGTCTCCAGCACAATACTAGCAAAATAACTCCATCACTGGAATCAAGCATCCCCAGTGAAGGAAACCAGAAGTCATCAGTGCCAAAATGCTATGCTAAGTAAGAGTTAATTATATTGAAAGCAGGTGTTGCAGTTAACTAAAACTTGCAAATGAAATATGACACTAAAGCTCCACTTTTTCCTCACTGATTTCACAATTATATATTTAACACTATTCACCATCCACTGCCTGTTTTGTCTTTAACCATTGCTACGCTGTCACAATGTTTCCCTACTTCTCTGAACCTTGTGCAAATGAATTTATAAAAGCTTGCCAACACTGGAATGAATGGGTTTTTTTTCCCTATTTGCAAAACCAAAATCCCACCTATGAAGAGGAAAGGTAGACAAGAACCAGAAAAAGTACACACATTGTGTTGTCCCAGGGCAGGGGGTTGGTCTCTTGATACTCCCTGCAGAACAAACCTATGCCAAAAAGATTTGTAAGCCATTGAAACTGCCATTACATCTTTGGGAAATTTGCAGTAAAGTAGAAAATTTCTGGGAGTAATACACATCCTATGGGAATACTTTGGACAAGCCAGTTATTTCTCCTTTCCAGACTGTTAATTTTTGCTAGAATTTTTTCATTTTCTCAGTGCTCATACTGGAGCTTCTTCCTCTTCCTCCAAACCAGATTTGGATCTGCTGTTGCTCTTAGAGGGTAATACTATTTCTTTGTAGACTGTGCTTCTTACTTTGACCTTGCAAGGTCTGTACCTGCAAATTGAATTTGGCTAAATTGCTTCTGATTTTCAGCAGAGTGAGCATCACCTCCCTGGAGCACAGCAAAGCCACCACTGTGCCAGTGAATCTGTATTCTTGATTAGAGATTGGCAGGCAAAACATGTTTTGCTAATCCCTGCACCAATTAGGCCTGCATGGATAAATAATCTGCAGATGTGCAACAGTCTTACATTTTTTGCTCAATGTACAAAAAAAAGACATGGACTAAAATGTCATGCCATGTCTTCTGTGAGGACTCACAAGCCAGCTGTACTAAGCAAAAGCAAAGCAGAC